TGGGGGGGAAGTATATTGTGATGGTTACGCAATCAAAATGATGATATGAATGAGGTGTTTAAAACTTGTAAAAGTTATCAGATGTGTTCAGGCTCATTGCTTTTGTACAAACTGGTGTAACTGCTGATTTTTTAAAATTTCATATATAACTCGTTACCATGTGGAAAGTCCGTCTTTGCAGAATTTATAGCTGTTGTGATTGAGGAATTGTACCACTGAGTGATGGGATGAGGAAGCAATGACTGACAATTAATTAATAATCCTTGTATTTGATATGTGAGTGAGAGAGGACATGGTCAGTGAGACTGAAGCCCTCCTTGGGACGTCCTCCCGACGTGAAAAGCGCTATATCAAATGCAAGGATTATTATTATTATTTGTGCTGTGATACTGAATTAATCACTATCCTGTTGTACTTGGATGGGAAGAATTGTATCACATGAAAATCAGTACAGGTTACTTCAACTTTTCTGATTTTCTTTCAGTATTTCAATCTAATTCAAATAGTGCATGTCCAGATGGAAACAAATTGATTTCAGAACTTGATAGGTTAAAATTAGGTTAAAGCTCCCCTCTCGACTCTCTTCCCCCTCCTCGCTCCCTCCCTTCCCTCCCCTCACCCTGACCATTTCCCCCCTCCTCGCTCCCTCCCTTCCCTCCCCTCACCCTGACCATTTCCCCCCTGCTCGGGTCATGACCCAACTGTGCAGCGCCTTGGGACGTCCTCCTGACGTGAAAGGCGCTTTATAAATGGAATCTTGTTGTTGTTGTTGTTGTTGTAAAATTTGATCAGGGCTAAAGTAGTATAGGAATATTTTTTGTGGGGAGAAGATAGAGAAACCCCACTGAGCTTCTTAGTTTAGCACATTTTGAAACTGGCCAGCTACAAAGGACTCACTTCCCCAAACAATAACTAAACTTTGTACTAAAGCTTTCATTCAACAAGTAAGTGAAACCAGTTTGCTCCGGCTGTTCTTCATACAACAACAACAAAATTACATTTGTATAGCGCCTTTCACGTCGGGAGAACGGCCCAATGCACCGGACAGACAGTTTCGGTACAGTTGTATAACTGGAGGGAAGAGTTAAAGGAAATGGGTGAACAGTATACTTAAACAAATTAACATTTATTAATAATACCGAATGCTTCTAATACCTTCAAACTCCAAGGGTAATTTATTGGGCTCAAACTATCCAATTTGCTTTCAAAAGATCTGTAAACTTAATATAGTTTCACTTTTTGTTCCTAATTGCAAGGGTAGTTTCTGTAATCCCTCCTGACCATATTATCATCTTCCAGGTTCATAACGCGTATTTGGATGTGAATATTAACCTAGGCCACTGGCATGCAAACCTTTTTGGTTGGCATGAAAAATGGGAACTACCTGGACCTGTCCGAGAGGGAAGATGTGTATGCAATGTCACTATTAGAAAAGTTCCCTCCTCTTATCGAAACCTATTGGCATTAAGGCATGGTGAAATATGTCCACTGGGTCCCATGGTGTAACTGTCAAAATCCATTTAATTTGCTTTTGTCATCCAAGAAAGCATTTGACCAAGAAAATAATGAAGATGCCAATCGGGTTTACAGGGAACTCAATGTACCTCCACCAGATGTTGAATTACTGGTATACAAATGGTAGAACAGCTTAATGAAATATGAAAGGCTGATGATTTGCCTTTGCAATGCTGCCTCTCTGCAATGCTGATGCAAAGTTTTTTTTAAACAAAATGAGGCAAGTGTAATTTGTTGTTGTTTTGGCTTTTCCTTTTTCTCATCAGCCTGGAGGTGTTTCAGAAAGCTTGTGGCTTTTACTGTGTATATTGTTAATTTAGGATTAATTTGTCGCCCTATTAGGGCTCAGTAAGTCCTTGCAAGTTTGATGTTGGTGTTTGCTCTCTATTTAAACAAAAATTATATTAATGCATATTATTAATTTACACTAAATGGGGGGTACGACGACGAAGGATGTTGTGTTATGATGTTTTAAATCACCAGCTGAGGTAAACGATGGGTGTCTTCGGAAGAATATAAACCGGAACGAGTTTCAGATTGTACAATGGAAATGCTTCCATTAAGAGACTAGTTCAGCTGCTGAGTGAGGAACCTCCGACCTACTATCCCCCTACTTACCTGCCCGTACCCTCCGTTCCTCTGGCTCCGGCCTGCTCCACATCCCCCGCCCTAACCGCCCTACCATCGGTGGCCGGGCCTTCAGCCCCGAGGCTCTGGAACTCCATCCCCCAGTGCCTTCGCCGCCTCCTCCCTTTCCTCCTTCAAGGCCGGTCCCAAGACCTTTCTCTTTGACCGAGCCTTCAGCTCCCCTCTCGACTCTCTACCCCCTCCTCGCCCCCTCCCTTCCCTCCCCTCACCCTGACCATTCCCGCCCCTCCTCGCTCCCTCCCTTCCCTCCCCTCACCCTGACCATTTCCCCCTGCTCGGGTCCTGACCCAACTGTCCAGCGCTTTGGAACGTCCTCCCGACGTGAAAGGCGCTCTATAAATGGAATCTTGTTGTTGTTGTTGTACTACTTACTGTGTGTAGTTCTAGAGACAAAACTCTTGTCTTACACTGTTATTTTTCTGAATTAGACTTCAAGATGGTCTTGTGACAGTATTGTTAGAGCACTGAGGCCCTGACCCCTCCTCTCACTCCCTTTCTTCTCTCTCCCTCTCTTCCCCCGGGCCTGCTTTGTTTAAACATTTTAAACTATTTTGGGTTTAGTCAGTTTTCAAATTAACACTTGCAGAATTAGGGAAGATTATAGTCTTGAACTCATGGTGTACGTTCAAAATATCTTATTGAAAGACATTTACAAGTGCAGCATAAAATGCAGCTCCTATAAAGTCAAAAACCTCTCAAAGTGCGTCCCACGGAATTGCTGACTAGTGCAGTGAATGTATTTCAATGGATTTCTGCAGGTTGTAAGTTAGTATTGATTCCTCCCACTATCATGGATAAGTGTACTTATCTTTCACCAGGAGCTTAATACAAAGTTGGTCCAGAGTTGATCTGTCCCCAGTTTGTACAGTATAGTAAATGTTTGCTCCCATGTTTATAAAGCACTCAGAGATTTGTAAAGTGTAGTGACTGTGTATTTTGCAGGCAAAAGGTCTGAAAAAGATTTATTGTATTGGGAAAGTGGAGAGGAGAAGAGACAGTTTTATATCTAAAAGTTTCAAACGTTTTGTTATTGCCAACAATAGTTTTTGGCAGCTCATTGTATTCTGTGCCAAGCCTTATAGTAAATCATTAAATCTCTTGTACATTCTCAGTCTTACAGCAGTATCTTATAGAATTCAAGATTCCAGGTTTTTTTTTTTAAATCCCTGCTGAGGTTTTACATATTAGAATATAGGAAACATTCTAATAATAAAAATGAACTTTTTGAGCAATACTACAACAGCTTCACCAGAGGAACTGTCCAGCCAAGTACAACTGTGGCCGATTCGTGTAAGTTTGTTTGTCCAGGTGCCAGAGTTTTATTTTGTAACTTATCTGGAAGAAAATCACCAGTTTCCTGTCAGGTGCTGATGACAGAAGCAGTTGACTCATTGGGGTGGGAAAAAAGGCAATATGTTGGTGATCTGTGTACCTGCAGTGTGCAATAGTGCTGTGCAGTGCACCGTGTAAGGGAGAATTGGAGAGAGAAAGTTCAACATGCAAGACCTAGACTTTTGTCACAGGAGTACATAGCAGCACGCTGTGCCTAATTCATTCATTAATTGTATTTTGGTCGAAAAGTGGCCTGTTTCACATCAGCGTGAGATTATCAGTATTTTAACCAGCGCTTTCCGAGTGTGTTTTTGCATGTGCCCTGGGGCAGCTTCACAGAACGCAGACCCATGTGTTTCCCAAACTTGCGGACGGACTTGCCAACTCTCCTGATTTCACTCTTTGGGAAGGAAGTTAATATTTTTCTTTTGTGTGTAAAACTCATTGCCTCAGCAGTTCAGTGTTAAGTTCATTGTCATCTCTCTACTCTTTGCCTCTCTTCTCCCCTTTCCCATGTTAGGGCTCTGCGCAGTCTCCTTCTTCATCCTTGCCTCCTTTTTTTCATTTTAATGTTAGCAACTACAGTATTGGCGTGCTGCACAGCTGTTACATGTTAACCGAGTTGATTGATGTTTGCAAATAGTATAGTACTGGCACATTGATTGTAGGAAATGCTGGTATTGAGTTCATAAATGTCCTGTTTGATGTTGTATTGCAAGTTTAGGTACAGAGAATGGAATTTTTTTTAAAACCTAGACTTCTTAAAAAAAATGGTGCACTTCTGGGAATAATTTCTCTTTCCTTGCCAATTTTTCTTTGTTAATATTTATTTCCCCATCACCTATTAATGTTGACTTAATTTATCCTCCTACAGTTTGCTGGTAACTTTCCAAAATATCCATTATTCGCATCTAAGGCTTGACACTCCGTGCCTGCACACTGTTTGAAAACTAGGCCACTGTAGTTGAGCCAGATTCTGTCCTCACCTAATATCCAGACAAGTGCACCTTTAGCAGGTGTTGCTGGCGTCAGTTGGGACTAGGAACCTATTAAATGACATTTTTTCCCTAACCCAGATCTTGGAACTAATCTCAGAATTGTTGGGATGTGATTTAACTTAGTTATAATAATCTATACATTTGATAAAGCACCTTTCATGTCAGTAGGATATCTCAAAGCGCTTCAGAGAAATTGCTGTAAAATGTAGTGACTGTTTTGTACTCAAATGCAGGAGGTTGGTGTGACTGATATCAGTGCCGACCTGTCCTTTAGTTGGTGAGATTTTGAGTAATTGTGTCAAATGTTTCCTTGAGAGAGATTGATACAGAACTCCTTTTATTCTCTTTCTTATTGAAGTGTTAACACTCTTATATGTAACAGTAGGCAGTGCAGTAGTGGAGACTCAATCTATTTGTGAGATTTCTCTTACTAGCCATTCAGCAAATAAAACTACTATAGAAGCTGTTGTTTTTTTATGTAAAAAAGATTTGATATTTGTTTTGCAGGAAAAGTAAAGAAAAAACCAAACTTAAAAATCTCTGATGATGTCTTCAAACAACCAGTTTCCAACCCAACGTAAGTGAAACCCACTATATTTTTAAAATGTATGTATAGGCTTCTCTGGACTTGTGTTCATCTGGATGAGTTTTTCTGTTGGAGGATGTCATTTGCCTTCACAACAGCTTAGCTTTGCCATGTAGTTTTGGATACCATAAGCTTTCATTTGTTCCCTCCCTCAACAATGCCACAAATCCTGTGAGATATTCTGTTTTCCTCTCAAAGATGGAAAGCATACACAAGTCTTTGGGACTGATTATAGATTATAGATTCCTCTTTACAACCAAAGTTGGATATTGTTCATGCATTTCATGCTCCCCTGAATTGATCTTCATGGACAGACACTAACTTTAACCATTACGATTGGGAGCTGAAACGATATGAATTGGTCTGGGTGCTGCCCGTATTAAGTTTTCAATCCTTGAGATGCATACTTCACCAGTCATAAATACCCACCTATAATTATCCTGGTTCTTGTGTCGCATAGATTCATACAAGTTCCTGCCACATATTATCATATGATCAAATTGGTATCAGTGACTCTTGTGGGCTCAGGCTAGTGTGATCATGGAAGCTAAATCTCATTCGTATAAATCCTGGAATTTCCCAGACTGTCCCAACGGGTTAGTGCCTTCAAGAGAGGAAGGGTTTGACGTACCCAAAAAATCACGTGCTACAAAGGTCATCAGATTTACACTCGTAAATTCATTTCTTTGAGGTTTGTGACGCCCCTATTCAAGCAGGTCAGGTAATAAGATCTGGCTGAGTTTTCTGACTCATTTACTACAGATTAGGAAAGAACCAGTCTGGGTTTCACCTGTTTTTATGCTTCATTGACATGATAACCCTATGGGTTTCTTTCTACACCTTGAGTTTCCTTCTTCTCTCCCACACACACATTTCTGGGCACACATTTCCTTAAGGGAAGATGTGCTTTCATTTTTACACTCAAATTTGAGTATACCTACCTTCAAATCCTGAAAATGGCCAATTTGTATGAAAGTACTCACAATACACAGCAGTGCACTAGACTTCTGAATACAAAGAGCTCAACTTTTCAGATGTGATAATTTCATGAACACTGGAATGATTAGTGAAGCCTTCCGTACGTTTTTCTTTCCTTAGGCTAGTTCTACTTGCCCTCTTCAATATACAAAATACACCAGCCCAACCCTTCCAATTCTGATACAGGGTCACAATTGAAACATGAGCCATCTTTCTAACATGAGTCACTTGCTGTGTATTTCCACCATTTCTTGTTGTGATTTCAAAATTCCAGACTCTGTAGGTTTGCCTCTTGACTCACTGGTAATGTTATGTGTCAAAACCTCAATTTCTGTCCGTTCAGTCTAACCATTTCTTCTCATGATATATTCTTCTTGATTTCCTTACAGTTAAAAATATACAATTAACGATATCTGCTATTTGTTGCATTAATTTAACAATTCATTGTGGTATTATAGTGTAATGGTACTTTGAGATGCTATCCCCGTTAAGGTCGCAAGTCGTTTTAATATATAGTGAAATGGTGTTTCTAGATGTATTCTACTTTGCTGAAGATTTCATATATTTTTGTTCTGATTCTTTTTCCAGACCCCCTCGAGATCTGGACTCCAAAGCTTGTATTACAATTGGAGACCGAGTAAGGAGTTTACTATTTTTAGTTGTATTTGGAATAGTCAGACATTGTTAAGTGCATGTCACTGCTTTTTGTAATGTCTTCTGTTATATTGAAATGCAATGATTTTTGGGGGTAATTAACAATGGGCTTGAAAATGCGTTACAGACATTATGTTCTGGGTCCATAAACAAAGACCCAACATTAAAATGGGGCGTGCAAAAATAAAGAGCTGTCAGTTGGCACTTTGGGATGATGTCAGGTTGCTGCTGCTGTCACTCCTGGGCATGGTGCACTATGTGCAGAAAGCCAACCGGTCAGCACTGGAAGTATCCCGCGTCTCCAGTATCATGGACCCATGTTGCGACTGAGTATAAGTGGACCTGCGCTACACTGAAGCGTGAATGAAAGCATTGGAATTAACCAAGAGATTTGCTTTTTTTTAAAAAAAAACCCAGTTCAGGGGAACATCCAATCCAAGGGTAACGTTGGAGACTGCTTGAATGGTCTCAAAGCACAAACTGTCAAGAATGTGCGTTCATCTGATCTATCTAGATGAACACACAGTGTATTCAAACTGCTGTGGGCAATGCCCACTCGTGTGCATATACATATTACATGGTGTCCAAAATGTTGTTCAATTGAAACCTCAAATAATGATGGTAAAGCATCACTGGTCAGTATTTACTTATTTAATGCAAGTTGTTGTTGGCTTTAATGTATGCTGCCTGATGCATGCATGTTTCAGTGCACTCACATAGATAGCGGTGACCAGAGACAATACTGACCCTTCACCAAAGTGCGCTTTGTCCCTTAAATTGACATTTGTTGACAATATAAACTACCTGAAAGTTTTTGAGCTGCAGGTCCCCACATCCTGTTTTGTAACTGTCTGTGTCTTGTGGTTAATTTAAAAAAAAGTATGTAATTAGCTGTTGGAAAAGGGTAACTGGATTGAAAGCTCAGAATGCCCTGAGCTGTGTTATTCTGAGACCTGAGGCTGATTACTGAAGAACTGGTACATTATCTGTAAGTGGTTCAGGGTGATTACCCGCTGACTCAATAAAAGGCATTTTGAGGGACGGAGGTGTCAGAATTTAAGAAACCAAGAAACGCTGCAGTTGTTCAAGCGCTCTGAGATGCTACCCTGCGTGGAAGGTGCTCTATAAGTGCAAGTTGTTGTTGTTGTTGGATGGCAGTCATGGGGAGGGGTGTTTTCTTTTAAAAAAAGGCAGAGACAGACATCAGAGGGCAATGAGAAAGGGTGAGACCGAATTTAACGGACTGAAACAATCTTGGTCATTCTAACAGGGAGATGAATGTTTATGGGAATAATCCTTTCTCTGCTCCACATCCCCCGCCCTAACCGCCCTACCATCGGTGGCCGGGCCTTCGGCCCCTAGGCTCAGGAACTCCATCCCCCAGTGCCTTCGCCTTGCTTCCTCCCTTTCCTCCTTCAAGGCCGGTCTCAAGACCTTTCTCTTTGACCGTGCCTTCAGCTCCCCTCTCGACTCTCTACCCCCTCCTCGCTCCCTCCCTTCCCCCCCCTCACCCTGACCATTTCCCCCCCGCTCGGGTCCTGACCCAACTGTCCAATGCCTTGGGACCTCCTCCCGACGTGAAAGGAGCTCTATAAATGAAATCTTGTTGTTGTTGTTGTTTCTCAGTAAACTTTGTGTGCGGAGGGTTAAGGAAGTAAATGTTGACAATTGCAGATGCTATTTGAGAATTCCTTGGGACCAACAAAAAGATTCTCTTTACACAAGAAGCCTGTTCTTACTTGTTTACCCGTACAACGACTTATCTTGCAGTGACCAACTGGTCGTATGATTGAGGCCTCATATGTTTCCCTCAAAATGCAATTGGAGTAATAAATGTTTTCCTATATTTGGGAACTTCTTTGCAATTTTTTAAACGCAAAAAGCAACCTAATGGGACAAGATTCCACAGTTTATTTCCTATTCTAGATTTTCAGGATTTGCAAGAAAAGAGACACAAAAGGTCACTGAACCGGATTACAACAATTCTATCAGTTAACCTAAGAATAGTTAACCTCTTAAATAGTTAAGGATATAAAGTCACCACTAAAGTTCCTCTGGGGGGAAGCAATGAATTCTGGGAGGGAAATAAAACACACACAAGACATCTCAAAGTTCTTTGGATAATTCAAATGAGTGTTTTTTATTCCTATTATAAAGATGACGCTGTTGAGAAACAGAGGAGAGTGTTCAGAGGTTACTTTGGTTTTGTACGTCCCGTTGCTTGCACTTGCCTTTTCGTGCTATGACAGTTTTGTTCTTATAAATAGTCGGACACCAACAGAATTGTTGAACGTTTGACTTCTGCACTAACGAACTAAGGTCTCGTACCGGCTGCAGAGAAGTGATCATTTGTAGCATTGTTTTGGGTAACCCAATTCTCTTTGTCAAACTATATATTCAGTAAGTGATGCAGAGAAGCAATCCTGTATGTGTTTAAAGGGAGCTGTATTTCAGATTTAACTATATTGCAGCACCTTCCCTTCACGGATTTGCTGTAGTGTAATTATGCTAAATATGGCATTCCCTCAACTTGGAACTGACCTGTGAGCACGGTTAACTAATTTGGTCTGTAGTAAAATGACATCGTCTGTATTCCTGTTGCTTTTCCTGTCAATAATTACATCATGGATCTGGCACTTGGTTGGACTGCTTATTTTATTTTAAGAAAGAACTGATTTTAATGGCAGATGCTGGAGCTTTGAATGCAATGACGCAGAATATTTTTTCTACTAGTTCAACAAGTTGGATTGAGATGCTGGAACATTTGTGTGCCTTATTGTTCAGCCACTAATCTTGGACTGCAGAGGGCACACTCCACACTTTTGTCAGGAGACTGGAACCCATTCCAAGTCTGTGAAGAACTGTTTATTTTGAGCACAAAAAACATCTAAATTGCATTAGGCTATCTCTGTAGTTTGTTCAGGTGTCCTATTGCAGCAACCCTCTCCATTCTAACCGAGTGCACCACAGTGCTGGATATAAACTGCATTGTTCATAGCACTCCTGTAGGTCAGTGATATTTTAAATGATCTTACATGTATGCTGCATGATGCTATTTTTACTATGTAGACTAAATAAGTAATCTCAAGCAAGATTACGTGAACATTGTGCACCCTTCACTCTAGTGTGAAGTTTATTTCTGAGAAAACAAGGATTTGAAGTCTGTACAATATCCATACAGTTTAGAAAGCGAGTCTTCCCATCAGCAATATTTTTTTATTGAAACTTCTTTTTTGGCTATTTCAGTTTGTGAATAAAAACTGTGATTTGATCAAGGACACTGGCTTTGGATAACATTGTGACAGAGCTGACGTAGTCTAAGGAGAGCTATTCATCTGCAGACTTCAGTATTGTCTGACATTTCACCCTGTATGTTTAATTTGGTTCCTGTACTGCAGCGCTCAATATCTCCTTCCAGTCAGTTCTGTTCAATCGGGTTTTAATTGCATTTTCTTTTAGCCAAAGCTGGACTTTCAATTGAGGATGGTTTGATTTAAGGGTGTTTTGTGCTCCTGGTATAAGTATATTGGTGATTTTTTTGTATTGTACCATTTTGTTGTTAGTAATGAATTCATGATGCAAGCTAAACACATGCATTACAGGATCACAAGGGAGGTTTATATGAAGAAGGCCCTTCGGCTCAATTCATCCTTCCAGAATACCCAACCTACCAATGCTTTGAGGATGTGCTTGAGTGAGAGAATTGTTTTGCTTATTCAGTGATAAACAAGAGAGAGTCACACTTAACATACGTTTTAGCCTGATCATGTTCGGAGTTTGCCCTTATGCAAAATCTGAGCCAAATCACATACCTTTTATATTATTCATAGAATTTTATCTTTATAGCTTCGCAAGCGCAACTCTTTAAGAGCAATTCCTTCCCACTCCTCTCCCATGAAGGAATTCCTTCCCGCTCCTCAGGTTTGTTTCTGCCGAAATGGTTAGGTTATTTACAGAAGTGAAATTTCACCAGAAATTGGATGGAGTGGGACCTTAGAAATGGACAGCAAAGAGAAGACTATTTGGCCCATCAATTCTGTGGAAGCTCTTTGAAAGTTTCATTGTTAGTGCTTTCCCCACCCCATCCCCCTGTAAATTGTTCCTTTAAAGATATCTAACTAGTTCCCCTCAAAACCTTATTACCTCTGTTTACCTGGCAGAAAGTGGGAGCCCGGTTGTTGATCGATTGGCGAATTGTTTTCTGGGGGTAGTAATCCCTTCAAAAAAAAATGTGGTCACTCTATCCATGACTGTTTGTGGGACACTGTTGTGCGCAATTGGCTGCCGCCTTTCACCCACAAAATATACATTGTGAAGCACTTTGAGACATCTCAACAACATGATAAGGCGTTATATCAAATGCAAGTATTTTTATTATTATAAATTGTTTGAGACTTTTAAAGCTGTGGATTTTAGTGTTAATAACGGAGGGCATGAGGGACATGCAGAAGTCTGTCGAGCGGAGGCAGCGGGTTCGGGGATAAGCAGGTCAGAGAGGTAGGGAAGTGAATGAGATTTGAAAACTAGTGTGAGGATTTTGATATCTATCTGTTCAGCGATAGAGAGCCAATGGAGCCTGGCTAGAACTGCTGTGATGAGGGTACAGAGTTTAGTACGGGTGAGTATATAGGTGGCGGAGTATACTAATAAGTGTATTACATTCTGATATTTCAGGTTGTTGTTTTGTGCAGATGGAATGTGGGTTCCCTCCCTTTTTCCCTTTGTGCTTGATGCGCTTGTTGAGTTGATGCTGTAGTTCACAGGCTGTGGTGCTGAAATAATAAACCTTGCATTTTGCAATCGGTTTTCACTACACACTTGACAGCAGTTGTTTGTTTCTGCACTGTGATGTATGGTTGCAGCACAAGAAGGAATGTCATACATTTTCAAGGTTGGTAGTGATTATTTTTATTGTACACACTTTTAATCCTAACCTAAAGATCAGATGTGTCTTTCAGTGGGCAGTGAAAACATGCACAGCATTCTTCAGGAATTAGTCGTGTTCAAGGAAAAGAACGTCTCTAAAGGGGGTCACTGTGATAATCTCCTTCATGCTTTCTAACTGAGATCATACACCCACTATATGACAGGTGCCAACATGCTGGTAAAACCATTAAGTCTGTAAGATCTATTGCATGGTATTAAATTGTAGCTTGATTATCTCTGATGTGATTTAACTGAAGAAAGTGCTGAGCTCCTGAGAATGAGTTAGTTTGTAATTAATCATTATATGTGGTGAAAGCCTTGCATAAATCAGTGGGATTGGATATAGTATAAATACTTTTTTAAATAAAGTTTTATCATGTTCGTTAATGTGGGTGATGATGGTTGAGAGGAAGGAAGGAGAAATGGTGGCGGAAGGAGTGGGTGATGTAGAAAGCATAGGAGAGGGAGTGCTAGGGGATTTGGGGGAGGAAGAGGAGGCAGCAAGGCAGTTTTTTTTCTTTGAGTCCAAGACATCTTCGGGCTTGGCATTGGATGTGAGGATCAAGGGCGCTTGTCCCCACAAGCACGTAGAGGAGATGATGAGAGGTGGAAATCAGCATTTTGGGGTTATTTTTGGCCTCTAGAATGGTCTGGGAATAGAAAGCAGTTTGGGGCTGTGAGAGGGAGATTCGGTAGATGCTTGAGAAGCATTTGGCGGCAAACCAAAAGCTAGGATTATTGTAAATTAGTATGGTACGTACAATGGTGTTTATTTAGATATCTGTTTCTTTTAAGAGCTTTTCATTATCTGTCAGCATTTTGTAATGTCTTATCAGGACTGAATCATCTCAAAGCACTTCAGGGGTAATTACTGTTGAATGTAGTAACTGTTTAGATAGGAAATGTAGGTCGGATAACTTCCAGTATAAGGCACCAGTTAGGATTGTTTTGAAATCCTATCCACATGAGTTGTGTTTTCATGCTTTTGCCATGTGAGACGTTTAAATTCCTTGTACTTTTTTCTGCTTGTGGGCATGAGTACTGACACAGTACAGTCTGTTGTTTTGCTGTGGGCAGGAGTTGTGGTTGCAAAGTCAAGTTTTGTCAGTTTCTTTTATAACTTTGTCAGCAAAGTTACAATTGTGGCAAGCAAGGTTCACAGACCGTTCCAGGGAAAGCTGAGAAATGGTTTGAGATATAAATGAGTGACATGTGGGTGCAGGGCAATAACGCTCTCTGAAGTGCATAAAGACCTTCAATGTGCCATTTGTTGTCTCTTCTGCTTCAGATCACGGGGAGAAAAATTTACAAGAGAATTAGGGCAGGTTGTATTATTTCTGAACTGGGCTGAAATCCACCTCCCTGCAGACCCAAGAGCCAATCCAATGGAAACTCACATTGAGGTCTTCCAATGAGTCAGATTGGGATGCAAGGAATTGGCTGCATAGCTGTGACTTGGGATTTATATTAGCGTATAGGTACTGGTGTTCTCTGAGCGAGCTGGATTCCCAATGCTTGCTCGGTCTGAAATACTTTGGAGAGAGATGGCTGCTCCATCAAGAGGCTTCACTATATTTATCACACATCAGAGATATTGAATCCACAGGACTGCCTTTATCTACAGAATCCTTCAAGACTAGATTCTGTCTTTATTAAGCTCTCTGCAGTGTGTTGAGACAGTGCTGCACATTGAGCCCTGAACATTGATGAGCCATATAGTGGAAAGATTTGTATTTGGTTTCTGTTTCTAGAGAATAAAAAATTAAGTTTCCGTCTGTGATCTTCACCTGCAGAATTTTGTGGTGGAAGCAGATGACCTGGTGCCAATCAATGAACTGGGGCGAGGAGCGTACGGAGTGGTGGAGAGAGTCAGGCACACGCCCAGTGGAACCATAATGGCCGTGAAGGTAAGTCTTTGAAGAGCGGGTTTGGTTAGTCACATACTCCTCTGGGTATTGGATTCCTACACATTGCAGCAGGTGACTGGTGCCAGGTAATGCAAAACCAAATACACTTAAACCCTGGCGGACTATTGGGGCCGTGGGGGGGTGCAGTGAGTGCACTTATTTCACTTGGTTCATCAGATCAAATGTGTTGCAAACACTCGGGTTTACCTTTCCTCCCTTTGTACACCTGACACAATGGTTTCATTAGTCAGGCAAAGCACAAACCGAGGAATCAGATGGGTTTGCTCTCCCTCCTTCTTCGTGTATCTTGTATGGTCATGTTTAGTGCGTCATACAAGAACAATTTCAGCTCCCAGTGCATGATTAATTGCTTTACAGATCACTAGGAAAACCAATTGGTAAAATAATGGGCCAACTGAAAGCTCAGCTTCTTGCCTCTTGCTGTCGCCGCTCCCACCCTTATTTCTATAAAAAGGGCTGAGCACAGTTTGGGCACAAAAAATAAATATTTGAATCAGTTGTTTAAGGAAGGATCTCCTTTTGTTCCAAATAGGCGAGGCTTCAAAATCTTCCAAAATCTACACTTGGTGGTGTGTATCTGGGCTGTTGAATCATATTGGGGTTTCATTATATGTTTCTAAATTTGACGCACTTTCACTTTGCGAAGACCGCAGTTATTTGGCTTGAAGTTGCATCAGAATTTCTAATTTGATGTAAAATTGCATCAGAATTTATGCGTCAGTGATACCATAGCTTAGCAAATCCACCTAATCTTGGTCTTAATTTTGTCTTTAAAATTCAAAGCTCACTCAGAATTTTCTTGTTTCAATTTAGTCTTAATTTACTTGTGCCGAAGAATTGCGTTCATCTCTAATTTGGAAGCTGGTTTTCCGCAGTCTTTAAAAGCACCAGGTTTCAAAATTAATTTGACAGTGAATTTCCACAATGCTGCACAATCTTAAATTTTAAGACACAATCGTCTTAAAGGCTAAGATTATGTCATGTTTTAGGCCTTTTCTACCTATGACCTTGCCTGCTCCGGGCGTTGCCTTTATCCACTAGGCCAGGGTGGTTTAACTTGTGGCCCACGGACTGCATCTGGCCCACAGGCCGATTTCATCCAGGCCGGCCCCCACCCACCCTCCATTTCATCCGGCTTGCCCACTTCCTTCATAACCCCTAGATGTTACACAATACAAAATTACATTTGTATAGCATGTTTCACATCGGGAGGACGTCCACAGTCAGGGATTTGGACCTGAGCTGGGGGTCGGGATCGGGGAGGACGGAGGGCAGAGAGGGTAGGAGAGTGGCCAAAGGCGCAGTTGAAGAGCAGGGGTTTGAGACGTGGCTTGAAGGTGGCAAGGAAGGGAGCGAGGCGAAGGGAATGTGAGGTGGAGTTCCAAAGGATGGGCGCTGAACGCTGAAGTTACATTTCTGGAAGGCAAATGCAAAAATTTTGCTTGTGCGACCCATGGACTTTTCTCAAATAGGGCGTCCGGCCCTCAGCAATCAAAAGGTTGGACTCCCTGCACTAGGGCATTGAGGGAACTCTCTTGACTTTTTTGTTTTTCTTTTTCAGAGAATTCGTGCAACTGTGAACAGCCAAGAACAGAAGCGGTTGCTGATGGACCTCGACATTTCCATGAGAACTGTTGACTGTTTTTATACAGTCACCTTCTATGGAGCCCTATTTCGAGAGGTAACCAGAACTATTTGTAGCAGACATTAGGTGGGGAAGAGAGGGGCGGAGAAATCAACATTACCGGTCGGTCAGTGTAATGGGTTGCATCTCGTAATCAGTTAGTCAAGGGTTTGTTGCTGTCTTAACGACAGCAGCGGTGATGTAGATGCTATAATCCACGGGATCGTTTCATTTTACAGACTGTCTGGAAATGTGTTACATGGCAGCACAGTAATACACAAGCTTTTCCATTACGCCATCCCAAATGGTTTATGAAGTGAATCCTTTGAACTCTTGCTGCTCGAATATTAAATCTAAATTTAAAAAAAGACTTTGGCCTCTTATTTGCCAGGAATGGATAGAGCCATCACCACAATTGGTATGAGAGAAGAGGGAGAACAGCTCAGCTATTTAAATGATTCCCCTTGTGCAGTGCAACGACCCCATTCAATGCTTTTGGTATTTAGAAGAGGGTCTTTAATTGGTGTGCCGTACGAGCTACGTGCTGGGTTTACTTATGGCTATTCACAACGACTTAATGTTTTGATTAGTCTGATGTACATGACGCACCCTCAGACCCACCTTGTCAGGACCATTATTTTAATACACAGTGCTTCCTCTGCTGCTTTGTTTACATATGCTCTGCTTTGCTTCAACCTGGTATCACCGTATGTCCTCAGGCAGGAAGCAGCATCTCAAGGCTGGCACTGTCATATTCACTTATCCGATCCAAACACTGTTGAGTAAGAATCTGCAGACTTAAAAATACCAGCCATTTCCCATATGGCTTTGTAGCTTTAAACACGGCAGGCATCCATCGTGTTCAGTCAGGCATTCATGCTTGAAGTCGACAGAGTGCATTTGTAGAACATGCTGGTCCATTACACTTGAAAGAGGAATATACGTTTGCCCACAAAAATGTGCAATTTCTCTACGGTAAATCCTGTGACATCCTCCTAATGTGAAAGGCGTTGTAACCAAGTGTAAGGTTTATTATTTATCTTTCTGAGCAGAGGTTCTGTGCAAAAGTGGACTTTATTTGGAATCAATTATGTGGGAAACTTGAAAGTGGGAGTCAAACTTGGAAGCTGATGTTGAGACGTCAATAGGAATAACGAAGCTTGCCAGAGGGTGCTGCGGATAAATCACTTTGAATGCCTTGATGTGTCAATCTTATCATTTCCTATGTGTCTTGTTTTTGTTTCCTCAGGGTGACGTGTGGATATGTATGGAACTAATGGATACGTCATTGGACAAATTTTACAAAAAAGTGATTGAGAAAGGAAAAACCATCCCTGAAGACATTCTGGGCAAAATAGCAGTGTCTGTAAGTTTGATTGATGGAGGCTTCATTGGAACGGAGGTGCTCCTCTGATCTCTTTATTTTAATACAAATGCTACTCTGACCTAATCATTGTAACTGGCAGCCAGTCTGGTGTCATGCTGGCTGTCACACTTCACTGGCAACAGAGAGACCAGCGGGGAGAGTAATGCATGGAGTATTTCCACTGTTAAGCACTCTGAGATGCTACCCCGCGTGGAGGGCGCTATGTCAGTGCAAGTTGTTGTTGTGCCTAGAGTATGTTCTGTGAAGAGCTTTGAGACGTCTTGACGATGTGGTAAAGCGCTATATCAAAATGCAAGGATTATTATTATTACATGATTGTGTCCACATTGGCCCTCTTTGTAGTGGGGTATTTGATTGTGAACAGAATGCCCCTTGCTAACACTCTCTTTGTTGCTAGAATTAATGGATTGACTATTTACAAGTCAACCTAAAGAGGGTGCTCCAGAATCCAATTGCTGATTAAATCTCTGCTTTGTCTTTCTGTGCAGTGGTTTTGCCACTAGGTGGCAATTTTCGTCCAGTAATTGATCATAGATTACATAAATTCCCACGGAATACAGTGAGTTGAATGGTTTAGTCTCTCAATTCACTTTATCTTTAGCATAATAATTTAGAATTTAATGGTCCTTCAGACCCAGCACAACAACAACAACAACAAGATTGTTTTTATCGAGCGCCTTTCAGGTCGGGAGGACGTCCCAAGGCGCTGGACAGTTGGGTCAGGACCCAAGCAGGGGGGAAATGGTCAGGGTGAGGGGGGGGGAAGGGAGGGAGCGAGGAGGGGGTAGAGAGTCGAGAGGGGAGCTGAAGAGTTGAAGAGAAAGGTCTTGAGACTATTGGAACTACAATCCAGAATCCCTCCTCCCCACTCCCTTGTCTCCTTCAAGGCCCGTCTCAAGACCTTCCTCTTTGGCTGTGTCTTTGATCATCCTCCCACCCCACCCCCACTTGCTCTCCACCCCTCGCTTTCCAGTGGTAATAATTCCTCAATCCACAATTCTTTGTGGGTTGCTGCTGTGTGTAACTGGCTGCCGTTTTTCGCCCACAAAATATTCAGTCCTAATCCTATGAAGCGCTTTGAGACGTCTCGAAGATAAGGTGTTAAATCAGATGCGAGGATTATTATTATTATAAAATCCTTGCATGTTAGGATCTAAAAGAACAGACCATTTTGGCCGTTCTTCAGATCAACTTCCTTATGACTCTGACAACATGTTATAGTGTTGTTTCCTTTATAATTTATTAATGATGTGAGGCAAAATGCCAGCGTATGTAGATTGAACCATAAGATATTCACAGAGTAAGAGGTTAAAGGAAATTGGACACTATGCTTCTGATCACAGGGGATAATAATAATATCTACATTTAGCATAGGGCCTAGCATGTCAGGAGGACGTACCAAAAGGCTTCCCAGGATACACTGTAAAGTGCAGTGTGTGTGAACGTGCCAGCGAGATTGCTAGTTAAAACGCTTGACTGTGGCCAAGTGTTGCTCAGTATTCAAGTAGTTTTCATTTAACAATTATATTGAATACTCAAACATGCAGGTTTACTCAGATCGCTTTTAGCAAATGCTGTCAAAATGTCAGAGTAAATTAAATCAAGAGCTGTAGTAATAAGTGGCTCAACTGTTCAGATAATTACTCTCTATTTTTGCTACTTAATTCCGTCTCACCAGTGAATTTCAGCACAAGTTTTCCTTGGAGGCATCTGGATTGACTGCGGGTTGATTCTGAGTTTAGACTTGGGATATTCAAGTGGATGCTGGGATGTGTAATGTGCATCAGCATTTAAAAATAACACAACGTGCAATCCTGTTATTGCATCGGTTGTAAGTGTTGCAAGTGTGTCGGCCTGGCACAGTGGTAGCGCTCTCGCTTCTGAGGCAGAAGGTTGTGGGTTCAAGCCCTATGTTGGGACTTGGAATCACAGTTGTGAATGCTTTTTGTACAGTGAATTTCAGGTGATAAAATTGTTGCTTTCGAATTCATATCTCTAAACCAATATTACATAGTAGTTGCCAGCATACCACAGCAATGGCCTGTATCTGACTACGTTGTACAGTCTATCTGATGTTGCTCCACTGGAACGTCATAAATGCTTTGACATACGGTTCAGTGACATAAGATGCTACATCAAACGTAAGGATTACTTTCATTATTAATCACACATTTAAATTGCCTTCCCAATACATAACCGATCTAAACATTAAGAACTTGTATTCTAAACATTAAGTAACTTCTGTTTTATTTGCAGTTTTTTTTGTATAAGTGAGTGACGGTTAATTTTCTTTTTTGTTTCCAGATTGTAAAAGCATTAGAACATTTGCATAGCAAGCTATCAGTGATTCACAGAGGTAAGTATACTAACTCGGAGGGAGGAAACTGTTCCCATTGTATGTTCTGTCTTTTTGATCACACTTTTGGGTATCTTTCCCATCCCTCTCCTTTTGGCTTCCACCTCCCAAGTCGGGTGCCCAGTGCATCAGCATTCATGATTAAATTGTGTTTTTTATTATAAATCACGCTTATCTGTACAATCCTTGTGTTCTAAGCTACCGCGCTAAGAATGAACTGGTCATGTAAGTATTATTTTTTGCCTGCTGTCCTTTACAGATGTGAAACCTTCAAATGTTCTGATCAACAAAGAAGGACACGTGAAAATGTGTGACTTTGGCATCAGTGGATATCTGGTAGACTCTGTGGCGAAGACGATGGATGCAGGCTGCAAACCGTATATGGCTGTAAGTGCAAAACTAAGACGTGGGAAACAGAGCCAGTGCAGAACGTCAGTGTGTTATATCAGCCTTTGGGTTTTCAGTGAATATTGTGTTTATCAAGACAAGTAACGTCAGTAATGCAGAGATGAACACTCCCATTTCAGGTCCCATTGGAACAAGGACACTCTCCCTCACCACCTCAACTTGGCTTAGATTCTATCCATTATACCAAATGTGAAAGTGCTGTGTGTTCATGTACTGTGTTTCCCAGACACCAGGGTAGCCTTCTTAGCTTGAGCTTTGCAAAATTAATTTTGTTGTTAAAAAAATTCTTGCAGCTTTGAGCAATCTAAGTGCAAATGTGTTGGGGTATGAAGTGCGGCTGGCTGTATGACAATGGGTAGACTCACCACGGTATCTTTCAGTTATTCAGTGCTTCAAAAAGAGTTTTGATACCTTCACCAATAAAGGCCATCTCTGTGGCCAGTATGAGCATTCTTGTCCCTAGTTCTGCGCCCTTTATTATTCTTTATTAACACTCCGATGCAGTGCCGAGCGGGGAGGGGTGGGGCTCTTAACAACGTGATAAGGTGCTGTATCAAATACAAGGATTATCGTTAAAGATCCCATTGCACTAAAGAAAACAAAATAGAGATTGGAGTTTCTCCGGGTATCCTGACCAACAATCCTCCAGGTAAAGTTGGTCACTCATTTTACGGCTATAGGACATTGCTGTGCACAAATTGGCTGCAATGTTTGCCTACAAATACATTCTGTGCATGTTGCACCAAACTCTGAAGTGTTTTCATACCCTTCGATACAATAAGAAACTATATTAAAAGCAAGGATTATTATTAACTCCCATTGATCTAAGTGTGTTTGTTTACATTTGCAGCCGGAGAGGATAAACCCTGATCTGAACCAGAAAGGATATAATGTGAAGTCGGATGTCTGGAGTTTAGGCATCACTATGGTACGTTAATAAATGGAGCCGGTTTGTTCCCACAGAGTGGATTTAAAGGGTTAAAATAGTACATTGTTGGTGCTTTGGACTCTGCTTAGAGTTTCTTTTCAGGATGATTATTTTTGCCCACAAAATATACGGTCAATTCACTTTATAGTATATTCTGAAGTCCTTTTTTTCAACGATGTGATAAGGCGCTATATCAAATGCATATAAGTATTATTACTTATTGTTATTGAGACTGAAGGAATTTGCAACAATGCTTAGATAATAATGTCAGTTGGCCCAGAGCTTCACTTTACCTGAATAACTTTAGAAAGTACTTGGAGTTTGTTATCAGGATCACTGTAAGGATAACAGGAGTCCTGTCGCTCAGTGGTTAGAGCACTCGCCTTGCAAGTGAGACAGCTGGGTTCAATTCCAGGCAAGTTTCCTTACTCCACACACCTAATAATAATCCCTACAAAAACAATAATAAATTGGTCATTTTCAATCTACGACTGTTTGTGGGACACTATTGTGTGTAATTGGCTGCGTATTTCGCCCACAAATATACAGTCAATTCACTTTACAGTCTATTCTGCGAAGCGCTTTGAGACATCAAGAAGACGTAAAAAGCGCTATATCAAATGCAAGGGTTATTATTATAACACATGGAGTTTGGTGCTATTTTTTAAGTTGTGCTGTTTATTTGGGGCTGGGGGTAGGGTATTGTTTTTGAGATTCAAGAGTAGCAGAGGGGTCAGCAAACAGCAGCTGCTCAATGAACTTTGTGTCACCATCAGTGTATTAAAACGGAACCCTATTCTAGGCGTGGTCTGCCCAGTCCTTAGGAAAACAATAATAAATTGGTCATTTTCAATCTACGACTGTTTGTGGGACATTGCTGTGCACAATTGGCTGCTGCGTTCGCCCACAAATATACAGTCAATTCACTTTGCAGTATTCTGCTATATCAAATGCAAGGATTATTATAAAGCTAAAGCTAATTTCTCTTGACGTTTACGTGCTACTGTTCTGAATAAATATCCTAGCTTTTAAATTGCTTCCCCTCATTGTCTTGACTTGTTGACTATTGCTCCCAGATCCCTTTTTAAGTTTGCCTGTCCTGGTTTGTTGCCATTGATTAGCGACTGTAAAGGAACAATATTCTAGGTGTGGTCTGACCACACATTGTAAAGTCTTACCGTAACTATTTAGATGACATGGGTCCTTGGCAAGTCCTTGGTGAGGGAATCCAGTACAAGAGGTTATAATCATAAAATTAGAGCTACGCCATTTATGAGTGAAATCAGGAAGGAAGTTTTCACACAAAGTGGAAATCTGGAACTCTCTCCCCCAATAGGCTGTGGATGCTGGATCAATTCAAATTTTCAAGACTGAGGTGGATAGATATTTGTTAGGTCAGGCTATCAAGGGATATGGAGCAAAGGTGGACAGGTGGAATTGAAGTACAGATCAGCCATGATCTAATACAATGGTGGAACAGGCTTGAAGGGCTGAATGGCCCCTACCTGTTCCTATGCCTCACACAAACTCACACCAGTTTGGAACGGCATGACGAAGCTTAATTTTGTGAAGTGTTATATTTGGTTATTTTAACTCAACTTGTACCAAAATGGTTTCCCATCTGAATGTTTTATTTGTTGTTTGCCTGGGCAGATTGAGCTAGCAATCCTCCGGTTTCCCTATGAGTCCTGGGGTACGCCGTTCCAGCAACTGAAGCAGGTTGTGGAAGAACCGTCTCCGCAGTTACCAGCAGACCGCTTCTCCAAGGAGTTTGTGGATTTCACAGTACAGTGGTAAGCCTCAAGCCTGCAAGCCGATCGCAGTACAGGGTGTCCATTAGTTCAAATTTGGTCAAGCTGGTAAAGGGCTTAATTTATTGACTGATTTCTCTTAACATGACCAGTCCACTTTGTGCATTTCATACCACATTTGCAAACCACATTACAGACTGTCACCCATTGTATTATGTACTCTGCGCAATTGTCTGCCACGTCTCGCCCACAAAATACAGTCATTCCACTTTACAATATATTCTGTGAAGCGCTTTGAGGCAGCTCAGTGATGTGATACAGCGCTATATCTAATGCAAGGATTATTATTATTACTGCATGAGTTTCAACAGCCTTCATGTTTTGTTTTGTGCTGTGCACTTGCGTGGGTCAGAGGTGGATGGATGATTTGTGCTCTTGATTCCTCTGCTTCATCAGGCCTAGCTACAGCTCAGTGAATTAATGATAACACAGATGAGAATCAATGAGGCATCATCAGTTGAATACCTCTCCACAACGGGCACAGTGCATTGGATCCACTAGGTATTCAGTTAAATGTTGCATTCAGGATATCCATAACTAATTGTACCACTGTTCCCATTCTAGTTTAAAGAAGAACCCTAAAGATCGAATGAACTACATTGACCTTATGGTAAGAAGTCCTTCTTACTGTGCACTGAATTCAGAATGTGAGCGTTGCACTTATCCCAGTTTTGTTTACATGTGTATATTTTCTCTTAACAGGAACATTCCTTCTTCAAATTACACGATGCCAACGAAACAGACGTAATCTCTTTTGTCAAAGAGGTTCTAGGAGATGAGCCCAATTGAGCTCTGAAGATTTTATGAATCCAATATTATTGTTTGTTCTCACTTCTCATCCATTGGGATTTCTATTTAAGACTGAAATCTAGTTGCTAATAGGAGACCGTTGGGTTTATGGCTGTTTGTGCAAATTCCTTTATGCCGATTTTTAGCCAGGAGGAAACCTCTTCTCTAGACTTCAGGTTTGGATCGGTTTAATTTGCACCCTGGATGAGTCGTGACTTCAAAATCCCAGGGTGAGATTAAGTTCGTTGCAAGACCAGAGAGGCAAGAAATGCTATTTAAAAGCCATTGCAAAGCTGGTTCAGTAAAATATAGTTGAGAAAACCTCCAATGTAACGTCCAGCTCATTTGTACCTGCTTGAGGGGAAGGGAATAGAAATGCATTTTCTTGTATTTTAAAAAAATGTAATTGTCTGGTATCTGGCTGGCACACTTCAGTTAGCACTGAAGTTTTAGTCTCCAGCTGTAATTACCAGAGGTTATGTTGATGTTTTTATGGTGCTGTCTTGGATGGTGTCTGGCTACTGCCTCTTTCTCAGCTCACGCCTAGTTTAAAGGTCTGATCCGTGTTCCTCCTCCACTTCAGAAGATCTTCTGGCTTCTCTCCATTACTCCAGCAGTTGCTCTGAGAATGCCAAACAGCACTAAACTCTGATTCCACTCCTTCTCAGATTAGAGTTGGCTGTCTGTATATATTTAAGTGAAAGAGTCTTGATTTGTAAAGAACAGAAAAAGAATAAGTTACTATTTTGAACAGACACATATGCTCTTGATTGTATTTATCTTTTTTTTGCATGGTTTATCACATCTCGAGTGTAATTCTGATAGGGCCTGAAGTGTGCCACTTCAAGTCTGCAAAGGGTCTAAAAGTAAAACCAGTTACTGTGACAACCAGCTAGGTTATTATAAAAGGTGCACATTTTAATGACTATGGTAAGGTTCCTCATTAAATACAAGGAAAGATCTCTCTGGCATTATGACCTGCATGCTTCTGAGATTCAATATATTTCTCGGCTCTTCAAAGCTGGTACTCTCTGCTGGTCCTTTGCTATTTTTTTCTGATCTCGCAAAAACAGCTTCTCCCTCTAAACTGCTAATTGTGTTTCAACATTTTTCCTTTTTGAACTTTAAATAAATCTTGACCTATATCGGAATTATCTAGGCCAGATCAAGATCCTATTTTTTAAAAATATTAAGTGTCATAATTTTTCCACCAAGTAATTAATTCGGAGGCAGTCTCGATTGGGCTCCACTGACTGCACTGCATTCAGTGGCTCTGATTTCATCCTTTTCGTTTGTAGAGTGTGGGTGGAGGAGAGATGAAGAGATTGCTAAATGAAAGCTAGCTAGTTTCTTCTATACACCAGGAAGGGGAGAGTCTGGGCTGGGAAAAGATCACGTGATACGGTACGCTGAGCTTCAATAAGACGGGAGAATGAGAGAAGAGTGGGAAAGACGCCCCTTTTAAAATCTCCCTGACCTGCCAAAATAAAAGCGGGCAAATCAAAATGAGTCGCAATGCCTTTAAGTTATCAAAAAAAAATCAGGTTCCGCAAACCTGCCGAAGTAATATTGGGAGCTAATGGGGGGGAGGAGAGGGAGGGGAGAGCTTGTGGATTCCTACCTGATCCACTGTCTCCGGTCCCATTTCATTGCATCACGCTGGGTTACATCTGGTCCCTGGTTTGATTAAGTTTTTATCCTGCTTTCAGGCCCTTGCAAAGTTCATGATTCTATGCATTTTGAGACCCACATTGAGAAGCCATTGTGCTGTCGTCGTGCTGATTATTTTCATTTTGAATACACAAATGGTTGCGACACTTAACTGTACCGGTCAGTGCTATAACCATATATGCAAGTTAATACAGAATGACCTGATATATATAATATATATAAAAAAAACTCACATCCCTATTTTTAAGCAAATTTTCTAAGATGCATCGGTGTAAAGTTGCACTGGGTGCAGAACTGTACTTAATGAGGCCTTCAAAATATATCATTAGATGTTGACTTTACCACAGTTTGTACTGTAAGCATTATGCATACTATTGGAATACACTGAGTTAAACTGTAAAAATACACTGCTTTAAATGTACAGTTGAGCCTCTTTGAGCAGAATAAGATACTGTAAGATCATTTACGCTTTAAACATCAGCTTATATAAAAATATTAAGTCTTGTTATATTTTTCCAACCGTTTAACCTCTATAAGATCACTTTTTAACCAAATGAATTCAAGGTTTCTCAGTACCCTGAGTGTTGAGTATTTACGTTATTGGCAGGGCTGATAACCCAAAGTCTAACACGAGTATCCTGGGTTCCTTGTTGCTCCTAATATGCTGAAATGCTCACTTTGGGAACTGTGGCCCCATTGTAGATGTAAATTGATAGTGACTAGTGATTTCTATGTCAAATCTCTGATTCTATTGGTTTTAACGTTAATTGATTCCGAAATTACAGGCTCCTTAATACAATTGCTCTACATTTCTGAAACGTACTTGAAATTTCACCGGTGGTTGACACTTGTATTACCTTTGACGCACACTGTAAAACAGACTGATGTGTAATGTACCTATGTCCAGCTGTATTCAGTTAGAGTTATTCCCATCAATTTTTTATTGTTTTAGACAATTTTACCTGATTTTTTTTCTTAAACTCCCAAGGTGATGGACTACAGTAATCTGCTATTGTATGTCGAATTTGCAATATTTCTTAAAGGTTATTCCTTAATAGGGAATGCAATTGAAATTCCTGGGAACTCTGCTCTGGATGTGAATCACATGGAAGTGCAGTCCCTCTGGGCACAGAGTGACATGTTTCTGGGAGAAGCCACACCCCCCCACACCCCCACCCCATCATCACCATTTGCAGGAATCAGATTTCTTATATTAAAAAAAATCTGGCGATGAAATGCTGCAATTTAGGTACATTTCCAAACTAGAAATTTCACTTTGGGCCATGGTTTTTAACCCTTAAAACTGCATTAGTCGAGCGTTTTGGGTATCTGCCTACTTCTGAATTGTGATTGCCACCCATGGTCAGAAAAGTGGGTGGGTGTGTTCCTATTGAATCCATGCTTCATGCATGCTGGGGCTGCTATTTGCAGACTGTTTGTTCTGTTTCTGTGCCCAGTTACCTGATACACTGGATTCTTGGCCAATGAGTAAGTACTGTGCCCTTTCTCTCCCTTGCCTCAAGCAACCTGAGACAGTAATGGCGACTCATGAGCAAAACAAAAAGATTGACAATTTTATTGAATGCAGTTCTTTGTTTCTGTGATGAACAATTAGGAATTACATTGTGCAAGTCTAAGTAAGGTGGCTGTGACACTCCTCTAGTTTATTTAGAGGGGTGGGTGGAGAGAGGAGGTGGGGGGGTGACAGTGAGGGGCAGAAGTTATTCATTTACCTGCTGCACCCAACAGGTAGATGGGCAGATTCACTGCCCAGTGTTAATTCCATACTTGGAAAATATCCTGTAGTCTAAAAAAAAATGTGATTGGAGATTCTCTTGAATCATCCTGGACTATGGGGAATGTATTGCCTCTGCAAGTATTATACTGGATCTTTGTATTTGACTTGTAGCTGTGGAATACGATGGAAAGATGGGGACGGATTTTAAACCTAAAATGGATGTGGAGACTTTTATCTCAAACATTCAGCCATCAGTTAGACAAATTGCATTGGTTAAGAAAATGTACCACACACACAGTTTGTGTAGATCTTGAATCTGGGCTGGGTGGACAATGGGGGTGGAGGGTTTAAAAAAAACATTAAAGTATTATCAAAATCATGCATTGAGTGGTGGAATTAACAGTGTTGAAGATGACTTGCCTTCACTCCCAGATTTTTACAAAGTACTGATTAACTCGCACAGAAACCTGTCTTTTTTTTTTAAAAATGAAAGAATGCTATGCTAGTGATGACTGGCGATTGCCCAGGTTGAAGCATTTCAGCGTCATAAACCTGCTCATAGAGAAATGGTTCCTAATTCGTTCAGGGAACCAATTGCTCAGTATAGGACCAGGGCCACAAACAATGGGATTGTTGGTTGGAAGCGAAGCTTTTGAGCTTCCTCCTTCGTCCAGACACTAGGTGGGCAGTTTGATCACGAAAAAAGGTTATTTCATCTGATCCAAAGCTTGCGATATGTTGTCCATGTCGGGAAAGGGACTTGAGAAGTCCTTCTTTCAGATGGTGATAGATCATCAATGCATGAGGTGGGGGGGGGGGGGGGGGACTTTTTTGGGGGGAGTTGCAAATCTGCACCTTCTGGCTGAGATCATCAAACTCCCGAAACTGTCTCCATCACAAGCCGTTCTAAGGTTGTGCAGGAGAGAGTGGGCAGGGGGTTGTATCTAGGATTGTTTGGTGTTCAAGGGCAAACTGGAAGGAGCCCCTCTTGACATCAAAATGTACGTACAGAAGCCAGGGAATAGTCATTGAATGCTGTGACCGTTTGTTCCTCTTTCCTTTTATTTTCAGTCTCTACGCATTCTCCATGATTATAACAAACTCTAATTCAGCTGGGTGTCTGACACATCTTAGCTTCGTACAGGACAAACCAAACCCCTTAGAGTTTCACAGACATTTGTGAAGATTTCCACGTGTTTGGTGTGGAATATGCACTGTTCCCTGGAGGAACGTACCCTGCTTGCCCAATACCAGAGAGTTTGGGTGCAGGTTGGCAAGAGTGTGCATTCGGGAGTTTTAACTAAGCTTTATACCGCAAGTAATTCAAGATTTGCTGGTGTTTTCAATAAACCTTATCAACTTCTCTTTTTTTTACTACCTGCACCCATCCTAGGTGGGGCAGCGTGGGAGGGCGGAGGGACAATTAAAGATGTTAGAAATATTGGGAAAGTTTGGTTTTCTCATAGGGGGAAAAAAAAGATATTCTGTGGATCAATAAATTGAGGTGGCCTAGAGACCAGAACTATCCCATGTTTGGCCTATGATCAACCACATGGGCAGTGGGGTCAGTAGCTGTTAGCTAACATGAGTGGTGGCAATCATCATAGTCCCCTCTGTGTGTTTGTAACACGGTCCCATTGCTGTGTACAAATATTCTCAGACCTCCCTCCCCCTGCTTCCCCCCGTCAAAAAAAAGACGAGTAGCAAGTGAGCAGCTCACAGTTTGTGTGCGTGTCCTTGTATTTTACTGGGCGAGTAGGGGTGGAGTTGACTTGTAGAAACCAAGACTCCACAAAGCCTAACCAGAGCTCCGCAAGTTAATGCAGAGACGAGGAGAGGTGGTGAAATCACTCGAATGTGTCTCAGTCTGGCAGAGCAGAGGCCAGCCATGTGTATTAAACACTGAATGCATGTGAAGTACAATATCTTGATTGGGATAATAATAATAATAATCCTTGCATTTGATATAGCGCTCTTCACGTCGGGAGGACGTCCCAAAGCGCTTCACAGAACACACTGGGATGGTGCCATTTATTTCATCTTTTGTGTTTTTAATTCAATATTGCAATGTTTGACACTGTAACAGTTTTGTTTTTTTCCCCCCTGCTGACTCGCTGTCTTGCTGAGCATGTGTTTAATGTGATTGGTGTACAAGTCTTGAGGTTTGGAGTGTGCCAGTTTTGGTGGCTGTTAATTCCCAATGCAGTTTTCCTTGTATGTATACAAAAATAAAAAGGCATTGTTTTTATAATGACCGTTACCTCATACTGCTTTTATCCCCCCCCCCCATAACAACAAATTTGTAAAGGAGCCTTTCACGTCAGGAGGATGTCCCAAGGTACTGGATAGTCAAGAATTTGTCCCGAGCTGGAGTTAGGATCAGGAGGGATGGAGGGCAGGGAGGGTGTTGCTAACAGGATGATCGAAGGCGCGGTCGAAGAGGAGGGTCTTGAGACGGGCCTTGAAGGGAAGGGAAGGGGCGAGGTGAAGGGACCCTGGGAAGGAATGCCAAAGGAAGGGGTAGAAAGGTTGAAGGCCTGACCGCTGATTGTGGGGCAGGCAGGGCAGGGCGTGATGTAGGCTGGAGCCCACTGAGTGCTAACAGTCTGAACCTTGACGAGGTTTGGTTATTTCATTGTAATGAGAATATTTTGGGTCTCTTCCCACTTGCCACTTCAGGGTCACTTGTGTAAATTGTAGGAAGGCTAATGGATCCCTCACAGTGAATCGCAAGGCCTTAATCTCTTCAAATGAATTGTAGTAAAGTCCGAGAGTGAATCTCAAGTCAGATTCTGAATTTGGAATCTTTAAGGGGTTACCCGGGAACGGAGGTGGAGATCACAACGCTGGGACTTGCTGAAGAAAACGCTCGATGTTGTAATGAGGACAGTAGAATGTATTCTGGAGGGATTAGATGGCTTGAAGGGTTGTCCACTGGTGTGATTTCTCCCACCCCCTCCCTCCAACCAGGTGGGCTCAATATTACCATCTTGGAGCCCGAGTTCAACGTACAGCTGTGAATGATTTGAAACTCGAATTGCAATCATTTCAACGTGGGGGCAAGAGACATACGCATGCATGTGTGTATGTATGTAATGGTAAGGTTATACAACCGCTTTCCTGACATGACTTTGAGCGACTGCTAATTATATAGCACTTACACAAATTACCTCTTTTGTCGACTTTGCCTTTTTTTCTTATTCATAAAATAGTAGAGAAATGACAAACTCCTTCCAGCTTGTTAAAGACATTGGTACCATATGGCTGGTTTCAGCGGGCACCAGTCATTAGCAGAGCTGTGGTTTTAATTAAAGTCTAGTCTCATCTCATCCCCTGGAGGTTTCTGTAACTTAACTTACCACGGAGAAGAGATTTTGTTTTATTAATTCACATTTAAGATTCTCCAAGAAAGAGCTAATAGCCTGGTGATTGCATTTGTGTGTGTGTGGAATGAAGGAAAGTGATTACTTTTTCTGCAGGTTTTTTTTCGGATCTATTCTGCATTTTATGTTCCTCTGAGTCGAGAGGTTTTCGAGACTAAACGTTCAACCTTCAAATGAGGCGTGGAACACATCCAACCTGTCCAAATGAGGTAGTCTATCTGTAAACATAATAAAGGTTGATGCAGTATGGATTTTCCTGGCTCATTTGGCAAATGCTACGTGTATTTGTGTGTGTGTGTGTGTGTGAGTATGAGTGTTTATAAAGCACATCAGATGCATCGAAGAGCAGAAGGATTGCTGCATCTTTTTGATGATTTATATTTGTATATTTCAAGAATATATTCACAGTAACAACGTGATAAGGTGCTATATCAAACTCAAGAATTATTATTATTTACAAGGCAATTTTCAAACTCTGAATTATGAATTCCCAACTCCCATCAGCGCTGTAAAGTTTCAACCAGTGCCTAAGTTGTTCTCGGTCACAAAAGCAGCCGGGCAGGTCACTAACCAAGAGTGTATGATCAATGAGAACGCAAGGCAAAGTGCTCATGGACATCCATCCTGAGACAGGTTGCTAACTCGGATCCTAGTTCACTAAAGTTTTTATCGTGATTTTTAAAAAAAAAAAACTTGTTTCTCCTTCAGATGGAGAGTGGTTTCTTATGTGATATCTCGGCTCCCTCCTCCTTGTCCTCCTCCTCCTATCTCGGGCAACAACATTGAGACTTCTGATGTTTTACTCTCTCACCGACAATAAAACATTGTAAGTCGTGACTTGCTGTTTGAGTCAAAGTGCCGGGTTGCATTCTCCCGAAACCTGATAAGTAACTTTCTTTTGTCCAACCCTGGGGAAATGGAAATGTTTAGTTCACTATCACTTTGTGTTTTCCAGAATTAAGTAAATGTACCCTGTAGGTAGGAATATTTGAGTAATTTTGTGCTCAGCGGAGGAGGGGGTGGGTGGGGAAGTGTGAGCGAATGAAACGATTCTACTTTTCAGTTCTTATGTCAGCATCAAGTGTAACGTAATGATCGCTTGTACGCATAAATGTAATTTTGTCTTCATTTGAAGCAGACGGTAACCCGTGANTTTTTTTCTCCTGAAATCGATAAATGTTCACCTACAAGATGCACAGTCACCGCACTTGACAGTGGCGTCCTGTGAAGCGCTTTGAGACGTTTCAACGATACGATGAAGCTCTGCGTAAATGTAAATGTAAATGCTGCCCGTCTTGAGTGGAGCAGCTTTTGAGTCTGAGCTGAATTGTAATCCAACTGAATAGCCACACGAGGGCACTCTCTGTCCGACTTACTCGACCCGATAACCTGCTCGCACACTTGTCAGTTCCCCCGCTCGGAGATTCAGACAGCTGTCTGCGAACGTGAAGCCTTTCTATTGCTGATACAGTTTTACACTTGCAATTTAATGGCAGTTATTTATAAGCGGCAAACACGGTATCTGTGGGGATGGGGAGGATCGCTGAACTTGCCGTATTTTGGAGAAAAATGCAGCAGAATTGACCTACTTTGATCTCCTGCAACTAGGAAACGCCAACAGTACTTGTCTGATGGATGAGGCTGCAATAATCCTAATTTATCGCAAGTGCGCTGGCCTCTTTTCCTCTTGTAGTTTCTGGCAGTCGCACAAATGCAAAACATAAGGCTGGCCAGAACCTGGAATGTAGTCCATTTCTGTGTGTGTGCGTGCGTGTATGCATATGAGAGAGACTGTACGTGTCTGTGTATGTTTGTGTGCGTGCGTGCATGTGAGACAAACTGCGTGTGTACGTGCGTGCGTCTGTGCACGCGAGAGGGACTGTGCGTGTCGGCATGTGTGTGTGCGTGTTTGTGCACATATCTGCGTGCAATAGACAAGGTAGAGCACTTCAGAACTGAACCGAGACGTCTCAGAAGAGATCTTATACTGTAGAGGTCTGGCAGATTGTAAATGGGATTGAGAGAGTAAACCCAGAACAAAACTTTTGGACACGTCAAGGACAGCTTAGCAAGAGAGCCACAGGTTCAGGGTAGCACAGGGTTAATTTTGGGTCAGACACCAGGAAATATTTGTTTGTACAGCGGGGAAATTAATGACTGGAATGAGGTTAATGATGAGCACTGGACCTGTGTAAGAAATAGCTCGATGCTGTGACGAGGGGAGAGTGAAGTGGATATTCTGGATGATTAAAATCAAATGGGACAGAGGGACTGCTTCACCCAAAATGATCTTATTCCGTGCATGTTTTGCACTTGCTATAACGCCTTATCACGTCGTTGAGATGTCTCAAAGGGCTTCACAGAATATATTGTAGAGTGGAGTGACCGTGTATTTTGTGGACAAAATGCAGCAGACAATTGATCCACAAACGGTCGTGAGCTGAGCGATTGTTATCACCGGAAAGCGATCCGCTAATCGACTAACAACCGGGTTCTACTTACTGCTACATAAACTGGGGTGTGTGGAGTAAAGAAATCTGCCTAAGGTTTTGCCCCACCTGGGAATCGAACTCGGGTCGTCTAGTTTGTGAGGCGAACGCTCTAACCACTGTGCTACTGGACTCCATGATAAGGGAATTCATTAAAAAAAACAAGGACAAGGTTTAACATGATTCATCTGAGAGCCCCTTCAGTAAGCTGCACAACAAGCATTGTGAGCGAATGCCCCCAGAGTCTACTGCTATTCATCCTAAAGCTTTATCTCCCCCGCCTTGACCGAAACCATGAGGCACAAAGTCTCCGACGTGGGGGCTTTGAACCCACAATCTTCTGACCCAGAGGCGAGAGTGCAACTGACTGAGCCGGGCTGAGTCACTAACACCTGTTTATGTTGCTGTGACCTGAAAGAGCTGAGGTTTTATTTGTAAGAAAACAGGCCTGTGACACTATTAGACAGCGAGCAGATAACTGCAGTCGGTCCCCAAAGGATGGGAGGAGGCAGTGTAGCCAAGTGAGCGCCCAAGCTGGGTCAGGGAGTAAGAGCGAGAGAGACTGTTAATCACACGGCAGACTTTACCTCTGAGTTTGGCAGAGCTGGCAAGTAACTAATCTCTGTGGAGCAGCATTTTTCCACTGTTCCCATCTCCTTTCCATTAGCTGCAGTCTCCACACACTCGCACATTCACCGTCGAGTGCTGCGTGGGGAGAAGGGGTGGGGGAGACGGGGTGGGGAGGTGGGAGAAAGCTCTACATTGTTGGGGGTTGCCCCTCTTTGGGTGAGATGTTAAATCAAAGTCCTGTCTGTGCTTGTTCAGGTGGATATTAAAGATCCCTCAACTCTATTGGAAAAGTGGAGGGAGTCTCTCTCTTTTTCTCTCTCTCTATCTTTCCCAACGCCTTGGCCAACAATCTCCCAGATGCAATCAGTTTCTCACTTCACCGAAGGCTGTTTGTGTGCGGGGACACTGCCGCGCGCAATTGTCTGCCGCGTTTCGGCCCACAAAATACACGGGTCAATTCACTTTACAGTGTATCCTGTGGAAGGGCTTTGAGACGTCTCAACGACGTGAGGAGGAGCTGTATCGAATGGGAGGATTATTATTATTTATATCCAGCGGTGAGCGTGTCAAGCAAAACTAATGAATTGTAATAAATCCGCCCATTTGATAGAGAGCGCCTTTCGCGTCAGAAGGATGTCTGAAAGTGCTTCACACGATATTCTGTAAAGTGAGTATTTTGTGGGTATAATGACAATTTGAGAGCCTATAAATGCAATGGAACCGTTTTTTCACTCACTTAACCACACTGAACAACCACTGCAGAACTTAGTGTCATGTTCCGAGCTCAGCTCTCCATGATTTCCCTCCCGTCT